CCCCAAAACCCCAAAACCCCAAAACCCCTATGTCAGAATAGTTTATAGAAAATTACTAAAATGCTTTATATTGGTTTGCTAGCATAACCCACACAGCACACATATTCTCTGGATATGGGACTATTCTTGCACAAATGGAATGCTTCACACCGATTTCAGAATTTGAGAGGATCTCAAACCCTACCTTGCTCTTACTGATTGCTATAACCATCATCTCAGGGTCAAAATGGTTGAATTGGATTGGGAAGGCTTTAAAGGTAGTTCCTTCTGGAACATAATTCTGAATGCAAGCTTTAAACTCATCCTCTGAGAATTTTTGATTAGATAGTCTCTGCATTTCATAACTTATCAATGCTTGGTTTAATAAATAGCCCAGATGAGAGTCCCATGTTGTGTTTGATTGACATTCATTGGCTCTGTAAGCACCTACTTTCTCTTTTAGCGATTTTTCTAGCTTCTTTTGCTCTTCATAAACATCTACTGTGGATGGCATTAAAGAAGCTTGTGGTACTGATTGGAGCTCCTCAATCATCCTTGGCTTCATTGGCATCCAAAGAGATTCATCATCAAGATCAAATATTGTACTGATCACTCTATCATCTGCTTGAATGTTCCCGTAAAAAGCTGTATGATTGAAAACACATCCAATAGTTCTGTAAAACCTATGAATTCTTGGATCAGAGAGTGAAAATCTTTGTCCAGTTAATCACTCCCAAAATATTGCTTTAGGGCTCTTGATTTCAGAGGAGCTATCAATGGTCAATCACCATGCATGAGCTCCTTCAGAATTAGTTCCAATACATACATAAGCATCTAGTCCAAATCCGAGTAGTAAATTGCAGAGCAAGACAGCATGATCTTCAACATCCCCTCAACCTCTAGTCAGAAAGGCTTGCATTGAATGCCAAATTTCAATCTTTTCTTTATCAAAGCCCTCAATTCTTTGAAATGGGATGAGGGACACAAACCTACTTGCATGATAAGGAGTATCGAGCATCCTATCAGCCATGATTGGGTACACAAGTGAGCAGGTCGGCCTATAAGCAGCGTTTCTATCATCAGTTTCAACATAAATCTTGACTAATCTATCTTTATGGCTTTTCCTCATTCCTTTATACTCCATGTCCCAATCTTTGGCATATTCTAAAAATTTCGAACCCGATTCTGTTTCCAATTTCTTCTCTGTGTCTTGCTGGTTCTTAACTAAAAGCTGAGAGCACAGCTCAGATTTCTTGAACCCAGGCTCGAGGTCCATTTCGAGATGGATTATTCCTACTGAACCTTTAAGAACTCTACTGACTGGCTTCATTTCTAAAATATTTATTATAAAGAAACCCTACCTATGTTAATGTCAACTGAGTTATGGCATAGAAGCTCCCTCCAGTCTACTAAAGATGTAGATAGAATAACAGGCCTCCCATGAGAAGTGTCTCCTTTGGTGCTCAATCCATTATGTTTCTGGAGTACTAACACAAGAGGAGCGTAACTTTTAAGCATAGTGTGAGAATCAAACGCTTCAGGGATTTCAAAATGAATAGTTAAATCAAAAGTTGGTTCTGATCTACAAGTGACAGGAGAAGAGCTATATCTTTGATCCAAATAACTAATGCTTAATGTCAAATACTCATCACTCCTTGGGTCCAAATAGTCGACAAAAGCCGACCCTCTCAGCGCCTTAACAATCATATACTTCTTCTTATGATCCAAGAACTCCTTATGCTCTGCATATCTTCCTGAAGCCTTTGCCACCTCATACCCTCCTATAATACTTTTCCCTCTGCCGCTCAACTTAGCCGACAACTCTCCAAGAATCTCTCCTACGACTCCTTCTTCCTTCAACTTCTCAAGATTTTCACTCTTAGTAAGATCTTCAACAGTAATTTTACTCCTGATCTTATCAATAAGTTTCGAATTATCAAGATGATTCTTGATGGTGTTCCTTAGATCCTTAATCCCTCTGTCAGTCTTAGTCTCCATTTTAAATTATTTAAATTGTGTTAAGGCCTTGGGGTTTTGGGGTTTTGGGGTTTTGGGGTTTTGGGG